ACCGGTACAGACCAGCCCTGTTGATGGACCGGGAGCAGGAGCTCACAGATGTGTTTCCTGCCCGTGGCCACCAGGTCAGCCTGGCCAAGGCCCCTGCTGGGGCAGCGCCGGGTCTGTCTGGGCGCCGTGCTGGCCGGCTGGTGAGCTTGGGAGGACTGTGCTCTCTCTCACCGCACCTTTAAGAACAGCCCTCACAGGCGGTGTGGGGGCCCTTCTAGTTAAACCCAGCCCCTCCTGGGGGGGAGCAGGGCGGGGGGGCAGGTGCCGGGGCTGCTGTGCTCTGAGCCCTGTGCTGGGCCCAGATGAGTGTGGGCCGTGGCGGAAGAGCTGATCCGGAGCCCGATGGAGAGCCTGTCTTTGCCGTGACTTACCACGTGGCTGTGAGCCAATCACTTCCTGTTCCGGCCCTACTTTCCCTCCAGGAAGATCAGGAGGTCCGCCAAGTCGTCCCTGGGGCTCCCCTTGTCTCTGATGTTATGAAGACCTCCTTTCCTGCCCCTGGCATTGGGCCTCAGGCCCGAGAGCCCAGGAGTGCAGACTGCAGGTCCATGCTGAGCCTGCAGGGGGCGCCAAGGCATTAAGGAGCAATGGACTTGGGAGGCGCTTGCCCAGCACCCCACCTCAGCTGGGGGACACGGACAGCGGAGGCCAGGGAACGCTGAGCCTCAGAGCGGGGCTAGCCCTTCCCCCAGGCAGCTGGCTCTGCAGCCAGAACTCCTCCTCCCGCCCCAGCAGGCTGAGCCCAAGCACATTGATTTCGGGGCAACGCCTGGGCCGAAGCCAGCCCTCCCGGAAGCCAAGGCGCCCAGCTCCAAAGTGTGCTCCCCAGTGCCCGGGGAGCAAAGCCCAGGATGAGAAAGCTGCTGCCTCTGCCCCCGAAGGACCGGCCAGAAGCTGCTCAGGCCACGGCCCAGCCTCCGCTCCCCGTCTGCCAAGGAAAGCACCCTGTGGCGGGCTCAGAGGGCAGGCGCCTTTCCATTTTTTAATTTTTAGAAAATATTTTTTATTAATTTCAGAGAGGAAGGGAGAGAGAGATAGAAACATCAGTGAGGAGAGAGAATCATGGATCGGCTGCCTCCTGCACACCCCACCCTGAGGATTGGGCATGCAACCTAGTGCCCTGACTGGGAATCAAAGCATCACCTCCTGGTTCTTAGGTCGATGCTCACCCACTGAGCCACCCTCGCCAGGCCAGATGCCTTTTCAGGCCAAGGTAACCGTGGCTCCGCCGGAGACCAGCCACCGCTGGGCCTGCACTCCCTTCCCGGCCTCTCTGCCGGCAGGAGCAGCAACCCTTGCAGCATCAGACTCTCCATGCCGGGGTCCTCCTGGAATATTCTCAGTGCATCCGGGCACTGGCCACTGGCCAAGGTCTCAGCCACCAGGATGCAAACAGAGACCAGCAAACAGACATGCCGGCACCACCACATCGGCACGCCTATGCTGCAGAGTTATGATTGTTCTCATCTGGCAAGTGTGTGTGTGTGTACATGTGTGTGCATGCATATATATGTGTGTGTACGTGTGTGTGTGTGTGTGTGTGTGTGTGTGTGTAAAAGAAAATGCAGAGAGATAAGAACAGACACCAAGAGAGAAACAGACTGTGTCTGCAATAGTGGCACCCGAGCCTGGGCTGACTCTGGCCCTGAACTTGGGGCTGACCCAGCAGCACATCCACAGGCCGGCGGCAGGCAGGGGCAGAGCTCCGCGGCCACCCCGCCCTGAGCTGCTGGGCAGATGCCAGCTGGCTATCACCTACTTCGCTGAGTCAGAGGAGGGTCTGCCTCGCAGCCCGCTTAGACAGGGGCAGGAAGGGTGACCCCTCTGTTGGGAGAAAGGAGAGACACACCGGGGAACCAGTCAGTTGTGGGGGGCGTCGTCCCAGGAGCGACGGAGAGCCCACCAAGCAGGGGTGCAGGGGGGAGGCACAGAGCAGGTGAGCAGCCATCCGGCTGCAGGAGGTGCCAGGGGCTGCGTCCTGGCGGGAGGCGCTGTCACTGTGACCAGGAAGCGGCCGCGAGGGTCTCGGTGGGGACCTGGCAGAGCCTCCCCTTAGCCGCTCCGCTCTCGGGAAAAGAAGCCACACGCACGGGAAGTTCAGGGAAGACACTGTTTATTGTCGCCATCGATCCAACCCAGAGGACGAGCTGCCAGACTCCGGCCGCTCGGAAAAGCAGGCGCCGCGCAGCCGGCCACGGCACGTGGGGCTGCTGCCCCGCCTCGCCCCCCGCACCTTGAGGTTGAACCTTGGCGTGCGTGAGTGTCCCCGCAAGGGCGCCGAGAGCGAGGACAGCGTCCCTCCGTGACTCCTGCATCGGGAGCACTGAGAAGGCTGCCGCCCACGGCGCTGCCTTGGGTGGCGAAGCGAGAGGTCTGGCTGTGCACGTGTCTAACACTATTCCTACAGCGACGGCGTGCAGTGCATCAGCAGCTGAATAAAGAAGACTCCGCAGGAGGACAGGAGACGCTGTCTGTCCTCAGAACAAGCAGGAGGGACCCGCTCCAGCTGCCCCGCCACGCTGTGGCCAGGGCTGTCCGTGGGCCGGCCGGCATTTGCAATTGTCCATCTGCTCACTCTGCCTTGGGAGACTGCCAGCCCGCCTCCCCACACAGGCACGGGGAGAAGGGGGACCCCACCGCGTCCGTTACTGACTGAGAACGGTGGGATTGTCCCTGCCTGGGGCAGCAGACGCTTCCAAACCACTTCCAAGGCACCTCGAGGCACTTCAGTCCTGACCCTGAATAATGTGCTTCCTTCCTACAGGCCCAGTCCCCGGCCGGCCGGCCCTCCCTCCTTACGCTGGCCCTTCATTGGAAAGAAGGGGGGGGGGAGAGCAGGAAGGGGGGCCGAGGAGGAACAGCAGCCTAAGCCCAGCAGGGCGCAGGCGGGGGACATGCAGCCGCCGGGCGGGGGGGGGGGGGGGGGGCAGAGCAGCGGAAGCAGCCTCTCCCTCTGACCGGAGCGAGGGGGAGCGGGCGGCTGGGGACCACGCGTCCCCCCTCCTCACAGGAGCTGGCTGGTCCCGGCCTCCGTGCCACCAGGCCCCGGAGAGGGAGGGAGAGGAGAGGATTGCCGCCCGGGCCGGCTCCTGGGGCTGCTTCTCGGGGAGTCAGTGTTCTTAGCTAAACCCGGGGAGTCTGACCAGTCCCCTCCGGAAGGTGAAGGTGAGGAGCCTGGGAAGGGGGTCCGCTCCGCAGAGCCTCACTCATTCCCATCCCGGAGGGCGCCCCCGGCTGAGGAAGCTCCACACTCGGCTGCTCGGCTGGAGAGTGGGCAGTGCCCGCCCGCCTGCCCCAGCACGCTGGTGGCTCAGCCCGCCCGCTGGCAGTGTGTGATTGGCAGTTGGGCACTGGGCAGCAGTTAGAATTCCCTGGTGGGCGGGATCCACCCACCCCAGGACGCCTTGGCCGGCTGCCCTCACCCTGTGCCTGGCTCCGCCCCTCCCGGACTCCCCCTCCCCCCTCACTCCAGCTGGGAGCCAAGGCTGCACCGATGGAGTGAGATGCACCAGTTCACCCCGGTCCTACGTGCTGGCCTGGCCGCCCAGCTCCGGATGGCTGTGTGCACAACACCAGCACCTCCCAGCGGGCCATGCACATGTCAGTACACGGATGTTCAATGGACGTGAATTAAACTGAACCTCCCAGATGCCCACTCCCCTGATTGGCCACCTGAGGGCAGAGGCAGAGTGGTCCCTGAGGCTGTCACTGCCTGTCCCCGCCCCCCCCCCCCCCAGGCTCCTTCCCACCCTGAGCTCCGCTCCCTGAGTCTGTGCAGGACCTGGCTCCCAGGAGCGGGAGGAGGCCCACCTGGGCATGGGAGGGGCATGCCAGTGGCTCTGTCCCCACCCCACACCCCACCCCTGCTGTGGGCATCACCCACCCCTGCTGTGGGCATCACCCATCCCTGCTGTGGGCATCACCCACCCCTGCTGTGGGCATCACCCACCCCTGCTGTGGGCATCACCCATCCCTGCTGTGGGCATCACCCATCCCTGCCTCGGGCACCCCTCCCCTCCTCTCCGGCCAGGACAACTATGGCTGTTCATTCAAACTGGAGGCTGACAGCCCGAGGGGTACAGGGCCCTCCGTTCCGTCCCTGAGCCTCAGTTTCCCGTGTGCAGCAGGTGTGCTGTGGCTCGATGGCCTCTGGGGTCTTCCAAGGCCTCTCACCTCGGCTCCCTCTCCTGAGACCCCCCGATGTGAGGGACATGGAGGGACACGGCTCCCAGCAACGCCCCCTTCTCCCCAGGCAGCCACGGGGGCGCTCTAGCCCCGACAGACATACCACGGCTCCTCAGGCTCCTCAGGCCTTCCCTTCGCGCTCCAGCCCAGCCCTGGGGCCTGGGGGCTGCGAGGCGGTCCCTCCCCCTTCCCTAGGCCCGGCTCACAGAGGCGCCCCCGGCGTCCCTCCCGCACTGGCATGTGCCTCCCGCTGGTGGGTGCTCCGGGGCAGGAAACGACCACCACCTGGAGCACACGCCGCCCGTGACCATGACCGTGACCAGCGCCCGGCCCCTCCGTGCTGTTCTCACCGAGCCGGGCATCACCAGCCAGCGGAGACCACCAGGCCGAGTCCTCCATGGAGCGGGCGGGGCCGGGCGCTGGGACCGCCGCGTCCACTCGCCTCCATCTCGCTTCCCTTCGAGGCCGTTGCTCACGCACCCCGATTTCCAGCACCCCGTGACCAGCACCCAGCCTGCAGGGCAGCCCGCCCACCCACAGGTGCTCTGAAGCTGCCCCAGAGGAGTCCCCGTGTGACCAGGCAGACGCTGGACCCCTCCACCACACCCCCCCCGGGCCTCACTCGGCCTCCCTCCTCTCAGGGGCAGCGGGACCCCTCCTCCCTCCCCGGGGCCTCCCATCCACACTCCACAGCGGGTTCTCCCGTGAAAGAGGCGGAGACTGTGCGGGGGGACAGATGAGGGGTCAGGAGAAGCACACACACCGAGAGGCAGGGGCTGTGCAGGCGAGGGGGGCGTGCGGGCCGCAGGTGGCCGCTACTTGGCACCATCCTCGGCGAGGCCCTCGCCGTCCGCCTTGCCCTCCTCCTCCGTCTTCAGGTCGTCGGTGCTCAGCTTCTGCTCCTTCTTCCTCCGCACGCACTTCACCACCATCAGCACCAAGATGACCACGGCCAGGAAGCCGCCGACCGAGGCGCCCACCACCACGGCCACCGTGGAGTCCCGCTCGGGCGGCTCTGCGGGGAGCGGAGGCAGACGCTGAGGGCCGGCCGCACGGCCCCGTCAAAGCCAGAGCAGCCGCGCCATTGCCTCCGCGTCCCCCACCCCGAGTCCCGGCCCGCAGCGGGGAGGCAGGAGGAGCAGCAGGGGAGGGCGTGGATTCTGAGGTCAGACAGACCGGTGCGGCCTGAGTGTATTTATGAGCTGGTTCATCTCAGACACGTATCCTCCCCACTGACATCGCAGCTCCTGCCTGAGGCTCCTGGGACGGTGAGAGGCTGCAGCCAGTTTGGTCCCCGGCCTGAGACTCATCGCGCCCTATCAATGGAAGCTGCTAGAATGACTCTTACCGTCCTGGGCCTGCCTGACAGTGTAAGGAGGACTCTCAGAGTCACGCTCCCAGGTCCCTAAGGACGGCAGGGAAGGGAGCGGGTGCTGGGCCACCCTCGGCTGCAGCTCCCAGCGCCCCCCGCAGGACAGCCTCCCCGGGGCCCTCTGGGCGCAGCTGAGTAAGCGCCAGGCCCTGCGCGCTCACCCTCCATGAGCACCCGCAGCTGGATCCTGCCGTGGCCGCGGTGGCGGTCGGGCGGGTTCAGGATGTAGCAGCTGTACAGGCCCTCGTCCTCCGGCTGCACGTTGCGCAGCGTCACGGACACGTCGTACTTGCTGGGGTTCCCCGAGAACTCCACGCGGTCCCGGAACCGCTCCAGCTTCAGGCTGATGATCTTCATGCGGAACTGGAGGAACTGGGGGTGCGAGGGGCAGGCTGGGAGGCTGGCAGGCCCCGGGGGCGGGTACTGGGACAGGCCGTTCCCTCGGATCTCCACCCTCCCCGCCGCGGGGCCGCACACCCTCCGCCCCAGCAGACGGCGCCACCCCGGACTCACCATCTCCTCGGAGCAGTTGCCGCACTCCTGGTAGGTCCAGTTCAGGGAGAAGTGCTTGTGGTTCACGGTGTAGCAGGAGTTGAAGGTGCAGGGCAGGCGCGCGTCCGAGCCATTGAGCACGTTGAGGGTGGTGGGCACCGTGACCTCCATGCTGAGCCCTGGCCGCACTGCAGGCAGAGCACACGCTGCTGAGGCTCTGCTGGTGGGAGAGGGGCGGGGGGGGGGGGGGGGGCAGGCTGCACCTGGTGGGAGAGGGGCCGGGAGAGGGGGCAGGCTGCACCTGGTGGGAGTGGGGCGGGGAGGGGGGGCAGGCTGCACCTGGTGGGAGAGGGGCCAGGAGGGGGGGACAGGCTACATCTGGTGGGAGTGGGGGGGGACAGGCTGCACCTGGTGGGAATGGGGGGGGGGACAGGTTGCACCTGGTGGGAGTGAGGCTGCACCTGATGGGAGTGGGGCCGGGGGCGGGGGGACAGGCCGCACCTGGTGGGAGAGGGGCCGGGGGGTGGGGGGACAGGCCGCACCTGGTGGGAGGTGCAGAGCTATGCAGAGGTGGGCCCTATGGCTGAAGCATTCAGGGGTTCAGGAGAGGGCGGGGGTAATAGATGTGGCCTGGGGTAAAGTGGGGCAGCACAGGCTGGGGTGTAGAGACGGATCCTGTTGGCCGGGGACAGACAAGGCCCCAGGCCTTTCCTGGGTCTGGGCGGCAGCCCCCGCCCACCGCTGCGCTGTCCCTCCGTGCTGCCTGCTCTGCAGCTGCAGGCCCTGGGGAAAGGTTTGCTTGTGCTGGCCTCAGTTTCCCTCTTCTCCACCACTTACAACCCTCTCCACGGAGCCCGTGGGCTCAAGCCGAGTGTCCCCAGCGGGTCAGGCAACACCTCCTTACAGTTTGCACCCAGGCACCTCACTTGCCTCACCTGGCCTTTTGCACCTCACTGGCCTTTTTAAGTGTGTGTGTGTGTGTGTGTATATATATATATATATATATATATATATATATATATATATATATATAATTGATTTCAGAGAAGAAGGGAAGTGGAGAGAGAAACATCAATGATGGGAGAGTCATTGATTGGTTGCCTCCTATTTGCTCCCTACCTGGGCATGTGCCCCGACTGGGAATCGAACCATGTCCTCCTGGTTCATAGGCCAACACTCAACCACCAAGCCATGCCCGTCGGGCCCAATCCTGGCCGTAATTGTAAGATTCTTTGCCAACATTGCCAAAACCTCGTCCCCAACGCTCCATGTCCCCGGGGGACACACCGCGACCTCCGGCTCAGCCCCTCGCTCCTTCCAGGAGCTGATCGCCCTCCTCCCGAGCCGGAAGCCAGGCCGGGGAGACTGGACACGCCGCCCAGTGCCCCCGGAGCGTGTCCTCGGGGGGAAAGGGGGCGAGGCCGGGCATGGGGACAGGTGACGGAATACAGCGAGGGGAGGCGTGTGTCTGTGGCTGGTAAGGCTGCCCGGAGGGCGGGTGGTGCTCAGGGAGCCGCCTGGCACGCTGAGGGAGCGGTCCGAGGCTGCGGACGCCCGGGCGGTCCCAGTGGCGGGAGTGGGCTTCCTGTCTCTGCGTCACCGGGAGCAGAGAGACCAAGGGCGATGGGGAGACTGAGGCCCAGGGTCAGGCAGGCACCGAGGCACAGGGTCCGTGGGCCCGACAGGACTTAGGGTGGAATTCCTGGGAGTGAGACAGGAAGCCACGGGGACTGGGGCAGGGCCCTGCAGCGGGGTCTCTGCAGGAAGGGCACAGACGTGGAGGCCTGACCAGAAGCGGGTTCAATCCCAGCCGCCTTCTGGGCAGGCCCCTCCCCCCAGCCTCACCCCCGCCCCAGGAGCGCGGCGGTTGTTGGGAGAGTTAAAGATGGAGTGTAGGAGCAGGGCGCCGTCTGCCGGCTGGCGAGGGCGCAGCAAAGGGAAGGGGGCAGTCCCCGGCTAGGGCGCCTTGGGCAGGACCCCGGGACTGTTTCCACGCTGCTCTGTTGTGCAAAGGCCCCCCGCCCCACCCCCGCCCGCCCCAGCAGCCGCTGCAGCCCTGGGCTCAGCCGGCTCCGGAAGAGGACCCAGGGCAGGACCTGAGCGGGCGGCTCCGGCTGCTGGCCAGGTCAGACGGCCCAGACGGAGGGTCACGCAGACCGCCGCCAGGCACACCCCTCGGGAGCAGGAGCTGGAGCGGCTGATGGACCCGCACAGCGGAGGGAAGAGCTGCTTGCTCCGGGCAGGGAGGAGGGCACCCACAACGCCCCCACCCCGGGAGGAGGGAGCGCAGGAGCGTCCTGAGCTAACCTCCCTCCGAGCTCCGGGAGCCGGCACCTTCCCTGGAAAGGCTGCCCCGTCCTACCCCACCCCGCCCTCACCCCACCCCACCCTCATCCCCGCCCTCACCCCACCCCACCCTCACCCCCTCCCTCACTCCTACCCCATCAGCGGAGCCTCCAAGCCACACCTGAAGCAGGTGCTGACAGTTGGCTGCACGCCCCCGCCCCCCCATCCCCCCGCCCGCTGGTCCCCCCAATCCCGCCCCCGACAGCAGCCCAGACATGGTCCCAGCTAGAACGGGAGCCCCCAGGCAGCACCTAGCCACCCAAAGGGCCGGGCCTTGCCACACGGGAAGGCAGAGCGCGACAGAGAAGCACAATGCGGGGTCCCTCCCCAAACCCTGACAGCGAGTCCCGCGGAAGCAATGGCCAGAGAGGACACCAGGTCCCAGCTCAGAGGACGCCAGAGGGCCCTCAGGAGGGGGGTCCAGCCTGATGTCCTGCCAACAGGGACAGGGAGGCCCGGAGAGACGCGGAGGATGGGGCGAGCTGGGGCCAGAGCCGTTCCCGCTCCAAGTCCAGGACCCCGTGTCCAGGCCTCACGGGGAGGGAATGAAGGAAGAAGGGAGGAAAGGAGGGAGGGAGGGAGGGAGCGAGGGAGGGAGGGAAGGAGGGAGGGAGGGAGGGAAGAAGAGAGGGAGGAAGGGAGGGAGGGAAGGAGGGAGGGAGGGAGGAAGGGAGAGAGGGAGGAAAGGAGAAAGGGAGGGAGGGAGGGAGGGAGGGAAGGAGGGAGAGAGGGAAGGAGGGAGGGAGGGAAGAAGGGAGGGAGGAAGGGAGGGAGGAAGGGAGGGAGGGAAGAAGGGAGGGAGGAAGGGAAGGAGGGAGGGAGGGAGGGAGGGAGGGAGGGAGGGAGGGAGGAAGGACGCATGCACGCCCTCTGCCAGCGACCAGCCTGCTTCCTGCACGCCAGGGCCGGGCTCTGGCTTTTCCTGGAAACACCGCCTTCCTTCATGCTGCCCCCGCGCCTTCCCCTGCACCCTGACTGCCTCCAGCAGGAAGCGTGCTCACCTCCGCTGGGCCTCCCACGCGCCTGCCGATGCCAGCTGACAAGGCGTCGCCTGGGTGACGGCCTCGCCAGCTGTGCCCACACTCCGCCCCGCCCGCCTCACGTGGCACAGGGCAGCCCAGGCTCAGTGCCAGCACCGACCCCAGGCAGCCCTCGCCTGACCGGGGACAGCAGCAGAGCCCCCTTGGCTGCTGGGAGTTCGCTCACTGCCCAGCAGGACGCTCACGCAGGCCTGTGTGTCAGCTCTGCTCTTCTTTTCCTTCTATTGTTATTTTTAACCCTCACCCAAGGATATTTTTCCATTCATTTTTGGTAGAGAGAAGATCCACGTGAGAGAAACACGCTGATTGGTTGCCTCCTGCATGAGCCCCGACCAGGGCTCAGGCCAGGGAGGAGCCTGCAACGAAGGTACATGCCCTTGACTGGAATAGAACCCGGGATCCTTTGGTCTGCAGGCTGGCGCTCTGTCCACTGAGCCACTCTGGCCAGGGGTTAGCTGCTATTCTTATCATTATTGCTCTTGTCACAGCATTTCAGTGCTGGGCTGCTATTTATCTCTGTGCCTGGGTCCCTCCAGAGGCTCTGAGGAACTGCATCTTTTAAAAAAACAAACATGTTTTTAATTATTTCAGAGAGGAAGGGAAAGAGAAAGGGAAAGGGAGAGGAAGAGAGAGGGGGAGAGGGTGAGGAGGGGAGAGAGGGAGGGAGGGGGAGAGAGGAGGAGAGGGAGGGGAAGGGAGGGGGAAAGGGAGAGAAACATCAATGGTGAGAGAGAATCATCGCTCTGCTGCCTCCTGCACGGCCCCAATGGGGAGCGAGCTGCAACCTGGGCCTGTGCCCTGACCAGGAATTGAACCGGGACCTCCAGGTTCATAGGTTGATGCTCAATCCCTGAGCCATGGCAGCTGGGCCGATTCCTACTCGCCTCGGCATCCCTGTCACCAGGTGGCACCAGTGGTGGGCGCTGACGGACATCGCAGGAGGACCCGCCTTGTGGGGTCCCGCCCAGCAGCAGACACATGCAAGGGCCGGAGGGACCAGACTGCGCTCAGGGCCTCGCCTGGCACCGCCAGAGCGGGTGAGCACCAGGGACCGCAGAGCCACGCGAAGGCAGCGCCGGCGCCCGGCCGCCCGAGCGGGTCGCCTCCTCCCAGCCCCTCAGGCGCCGGTCTCCTCCCCTCCACGCCCAGGTTTGCACAGGCTTCAGCCTCTTCCCGCCGCCGCCGCCTGGGTCTGATCGCTTCACCCCAGAATCCACCTTCCCCTGAGCGCTAATCCCGTCAGGAGCCTCCTTTCCTCACGCAGATGGCTCTCCAGGCTGCCTCCCTGCGGGGAGCCCCCACTCTGTGTGGAGGCGCCTTCCTCCCCCCCAGCTCCCCCCCAGCTCCCCCCCCCCCCAGCTCTGCCCGCTGCGGAGATGCTGTGACATCAGCTCAGGCAGCAGTAACCCTTCTGGAACACCGGGGGCAGCAGAGGCCACACTCCAGAACTGGCTGAGGTCGGACACCCGGGGTTCAACCTCAGCTGGCCTTACCCTTGTCCTTGACCTCAGTGCGCACGTGGCTTAGCTTCTCTGTGCCTGCTTCCTCCCTGTAACACGGGGGTAACAACGGTTCCTACTCCCCCATCACAGGCCTCCGTGATGGACAGGCCCAGGCACAGGCCACGCTTGCATCAAGGTGCCCGGTACTGAGCGCCTGCTCCCACCTCAGACCCACAGAAACCAGGCGGCAGCGCTCCCAGGCCCCAGGCGGCCAGTGACCTGTCTGTGGACATGAAATGACCAAGCGGCCTGAACCCAGACCAGCTTCGCAGTTCCTGCTCTTGGCATTGCCACACGCTGCTCTGCTGTTAAGATGTCCAGTAACTCGGCAGAGCTGCCGGGTCTCACGGCACCGGCTCCCGGGCTGCACCTCTGTCCCGCACCCCTGCCAGCGCGGGAGACCAGCAGACGGCCTGGGACACCTGCCCTCACTGCTGACCAGCTATGGCGCCATTTAGGAGCAAGCAGGGAGCTCCCCCACAGCAGCCTCATGCATAACTCTCCAGCCCCCTCCCCCAGAGGGTCCTGAACTATCTGATGGGAAATGGGCATTTGGATCCCTGATGGGTGCTCTGCGTGCTCGGCTGGGCCGTTCTGAAATGGCCACAGATTCACTGGCCCGTGGCTTCCTTCTTTTTTAAAAATTTCCCCCCCTGATTCCTTCACCTGACCCCTCCTCTGCTCCCTCCGGCCAGTGCCGAGCAGCAAGCCTCCTCCCACCCAGAGACCATGCCTCAGCCAGCCCCCCCCCTCCACACACACACACACACACACACACACACACACACACACCACACACACAAAACATCAGTGGTTCAGGTTTTAGGAAGCCAGACAGATTATTCAACTTGCTGCCCTCTACCCCAATGTCGTGACCCACCAGATTCCAAGGCCAGATTCCATACTCCCATTAAGGCTCAGCACCCCACCTGTGCAGCAGCTTCCAGAAACCTACAGACTCTGCACCTGGACCCCCACACACACACACCCTCCCCCCCCACACACACACGCAGGTCACTGCCAGGCTGGGAGCACAAACTGCCTCCCCTGACGACTGTCATCCTGAGCCGCACTCAGCACTTCTGAGCCCAGCGCTGCGCAGCCCCGGCCGCCTCCCTCCCACACCCGCTCCCAAGGACACGGCGGGAGGCCGCCCGCCCGCCCGGCCTCCTGGGGGCTGCACCGCGGACCCTCCAAGCATGCGATGCGCGGTGTGCAAGCGGACTTACCCAGAGAGAAAAAGAGACTGAGCCCCGTGAGGCCGAAGGCAGGGCGAGGGAGCCAGGCATCTCTGAGCATCTCCAGAGCCCGGGATCGCTGGGAGGTGGCAGAGGGCGCTGAGGGCTGTGGGGAGGAATGTTAGTGCCAGAAAATAGAGTGGGACACACGGTGCACTTCAGGGACACATACAGCAGAAAGGAAGCTTTATTTCCATCTCTCTAATATGGCTGGCCTGTATGTTGCTGCTAAAAAGGGAGTGTGTGAGGGAGAGAGATAATGGGGGATGGAGTAAATCTTGTGGTTGTTGGATTTCAAAAAGCAGGTGGGAGGGCGTAAAAGAGTCTCTCTGAAAAGAAGCAAGTTCCCTGGAAATGTTTACCCTGGAAAACAAGAACTAAAGCAGAGCCTGCCTTGTTTCTTAACGTGGGTCATTGTTGGGTTTTGAAAGCTATTAGAGGAACCCCTTTATTTCAAAGCTGCTGTAAGGGTGAGGGGACCCCTTTTGTCATTTAAAAACACCCCAAAAAAGGAAATACTGGTTCCTGTGGTTTGGAAAGCATTGGGGGAAGTGAGCCAGGAGCCAGGAGACTTTGGGGAAGCAGGGACTTCCTCATTATTCCCCCATTTTCACTGAAATCGGAATCTGTCCAAGCAAGCTGGTGCGAAGCACCGAATCCAGCTCACAGGGGGATGAGGGGGGACGAGGGGGCCTTGCCACCCTGCCCCCTCGGAGGCCTGCGTGGCGGCCTTGCCACCGCAGGTGGTCATGTCCTAGGCTAGAACCTCCTGATGAAGGTCGGTCTTTTCCCTGGTGAGAGAACACACGTGTTCCCCGTCTTTCTCCCCTGTGCCCCTCTGCTGCTCCCGCCCCGCCCAGGCCTTCACCGCACCGACGTCTGTGTCCGCGGCCATTTCTGTGTGCATGGACGGCCTTGGTTAATCTCTCCCACCCACCTGCCTCTGAGCCGTCAGTCTGCTCCAGGCTTCCGTGCCTCTGGAGCTATTTGTCAGTGTTTTATTCATTAGATTCCACATACGAGGGAGATTATGTGATGCTTGTCTTTCTCTGGCTGACTTACTTCTCTTAGCATGGGACTCTCTAGGTCCGAGATCCTTCATTTTTACTGCTCCATAGTATTCCATTGCGTAGATGCACCACAGCTTTTTTATCCAGTCATCTGCTGATGGGCACTTAGGCTGTTTCCAGATCTTAGCTGTTGTAAATTGTGCCGCTATGAACGTAGGGGTGCATATATCCTTTCTGATTGGTATTTCTGGTCTCTTGGGGTATGTTCCTAGAAGTGGGATCACTGGGTCAAATGGGAGCTCCATTTTTAACTGTTTAAGGAAACTCCATACTGTTCTCCACAGTGGCTGCACCAGTCTGCATTCCCACCAGCAGTGAGGAGGGTTCCTTGCCAGCACTTGTCGTTTGTAGATTTATTGATGGTAGCCATCGACAGGTGTGAGATGGTACCTCACTGTGGTTTTAATTTGCATCTCTCTGTTGATCAGTGACATTGAGCATTTTTTTCACGTTCTGTACATTCTCGTTGGAGAAGTGTCTATTCAGGTTTTTTTAGCTGAGTTGTTTGTCTTCCTTTTGTTGAGCTGTATCAGTCCTTCATGTATTTGGAAATTGACCCTGTCAGATGTGTCAGTTCTCCCACGCAGTGGCTGTCTGTCCGCTTTGCGGACGGTGTGCCTGTTTGCTGTGCAGAAGCTTAAATTTCATTCTCCCCTTTGTTTCTCTTGCCCCAGGAGCTATGTCAGCAGCATTTGGTTAAGCTAGAGGAAGGGGCGATAAGCCAAGGAGCATGGCTGTGTTTGGGGTGGGAAGGGAATGGACTCTCCCACAGCCTCCGTAAGGAACGCAGCTCTGCCTCTGCCCTGAGTTCAGCCGTGAGGCCAGAGTCAGCCTCCTGGCCACAGAGCAGCAAGATGACACATTTGTTGTAAAAAACAAACAGCACAGCCAGCATGGCTCAGTGTTTGAGCATCAACCCATGAACCTGGAGATCATGGTTCCATTCCTGGGCAGGGCACATGCCTGGGTTTTGAACTCAATCCCCAATAGGGGCATGCGGGAGGCAATGGGTCAATTATCCTCTCCCACCATTGATGTTACTATCTCTCCCTCTCCCTTCCTCTCTCTCTCTGAAATTTAAAAAATAAAATTAAAAAAAAAAACACAACACTCCCCAATGGTTTCCATGCCCAAAAAATGTCACCTTTACCTTACTGAGCCGTCTATTATATTTTGCATCTAAGATAACATGCCTTTGGAATGTCAGGTAACTGCCTTTCTCAGGCCCCTCCGGACAGCCACTGCACACAGAGTGGAGACTGCGAATCCCCTGGCTGTTATTTTATGCTGCTAACTGCTAACCACTATCCTGTACCAACTGTTAGACCCTGAGCGAGGGCAAAGGGTCAGGCGCAGGCCACCAGGGCAGAAAGCTCCAGATGCCCAGCCAGGGGCAGAGCTGGGAAAACAACATCGTCCCAGGGTCACTCTCCTCCCTGGCACAGCACGGGTCCTGCGGTTCAGACCCAGGTCCTCCTACACAACAGGAGAGAGCGTGCTGAGGCGGTGTAGACCCCCTGACCTTTCCTCCCTAGAGATGGCATCGAGGCCCAGGAAAGCAGCGAAACCAGACAAGTGACACCGTGGCCGCCTCAGGTCCAGCTAAACTGACCAATGGCCCCTGGCCCCTGTGCTCACCAATCAGCGGAGACCAGGGCCCTGGGAGAGCTCACCGGGAAAGCTGGTGAATATTCTAAAGGCCCTCCCCTGAGACCGCCCCCAGGTCCCACCTGCAGGAGAGAGAAACACGCTCGGAGCAAAGGGCCCCATGTGCCCTCTCCCTCCAAGGAGAACACCTGTGCCCGTCTCTCCTCCTCCTTCCCCACAGGCCCGTATCCCCAACCTCTAAGGGCCCCCATGAGCCTGCAACCAGGGGAGCAGTGGGCAGTGGTCGCTAGTCCCGGGCTAACCCCCTGACCCTGCCTCCAGCCCTTCCCTCTGGATATCCACATTCCCCATCCCCTTTTCCTTAAATAAACTCAATTTTCTTCAGTCACCGTCTGAGGTGGCTGTGTAGCCTGCCCGCGCACCACCAACTTTAACCTTTCACCCTGTGTAAGAGAAGAATGTGTCCGTCTGTCATGTTACTTTTTATCCAATCCCAGAGATCCCCTCTCCTCCCGCCTTGCTTCCTCCTGCTCCCTAACCTGTCACCAATGGATCTCTGCAACCCGCTGTGTCTCCTCTTCGGATTGTGACGAATAAATAGGTGGGAACTGCCTTTCCCTGGGCACCAGCTCCATGAGGTGGGATTCTGCTTCCCTGTCGACAGTTTGGCTCGGATAAACTCCAAGTTCTCCCCGGGTTTGAATGTGTCTTACGCGGGCAGTAAGGAGACATTTCTGAGACAATTGGGGAGAATGCACATGGACTGTGTAGTAGTTATATTAATGTTTTGTTAGGTCTGAAAGAAGTTGTGGCGATGTGCTCTAAGAGCTGTATCTGCCGCACCCAGAGTGTTTACAGGAAAATGAGATGCTGGCTGGAATTTGCTTGAAAACATTCCAGGGGAGCAGGCAGGGCGGGGACGTGGTGCTGACGGGTTCATGGCACAGCTCTCTCCTGTTGTGTACGCTGGACATTTTCTTTAAAAAGAAAGGAAAACAGGCTAATTCCAAAGAGTAGGAGAATGTGGGCCCCTCAGCAGAGGTCACCCACTTCCTGGGAGACGGAAGCAGGTTCTGAGGGGGGCCACCTGCGGCCTGAGGGCTGCCCCCACAGAGCACTGCACCCCGAGCACCAGCGCTGCACCCGCTCCCCCTGCCGCTCCTCAGCTCTAACCAGGAAGGTGGCTTCTTCTTCGTTTTGTTTGTTTGTTTGTTTTTTGTTTTTATCCGCCAATGAGAAAACAGTAGTTGGCAGGTCTTAGCCACCGTGTGTGTGTGTGTGTGTGTGTGTGTGTGTGTGTGTTTTACTTTTTTTTTTTTTTTTAATTTCAGAGAGTAAGGGAGAGAGAGAGATAGAAACATCAATGATGAGAGGATCATTGATCACCTGCCTCCTGCATGCCCCGCCCTGGGGATCGAGCCCACAACTAGGGCACATGCCCTGACCTGGAATTGAACCAGTGACCTCCTGGTTTACAGGTCGATGCTTAACCACTGAGCCATGCCAGCCGGTCCTAGTCACCGATGTGACATGTGTACAGTAGTCAGGAAGGGTCAGAGCTGGGTGCACGGGCACCTACGCGGAGCACTGGCCCTTCCCAGCATGCCGCACTGCCCATCAAGAAGGGGGCCTTGCCCCAGGCTGTCTGGGGCCACAGAGAGGCCTGTGCTGAAGAGGGGGTGCCAGGGCAGGGCCTGTAGGAACAGAGCTGGCTTAGGGCCCCCGATGAGTGACTGAATGGATCTGGAGAGGGAGTGAGGGAAGCAGCCATCATGGTGAGGGTGGGGCCCACCTCGGCCTCTGGGGCTGCGCTGGGCGGGGAGGAGGGGAGGAGGCAGGTGTGGGTGGCAGGTGCTGGAGCCAGAGGGCTGACAAGGAAATGCTGGGGCTCTCCCCCCAACCCCATGCCTGGGGTGTCCATGCCTGGACCTTGTACAGTACAGACTCTGTCCTCAAGGTACCTCGTCAATACGCTAGCTACGGCCCCCACTGGCTCATCCCAGGACGCACAGTCCTCGGGGATGAAAATCAGGGGGAAGAAAGGGGCAGCCCAGGGAGAAATGTCCCCCGTCCCCACCCCGTGGCCACAGCAGGCTCCTCCCGGTGCCCCCCTCCCAGGAGCTGGGCTGCAGGTGGGAGCCTGGCTCAGCCAGGGGGGAGCCTGGCACAACCAGGGCCTTGCTGAGGCTCAGCCTCCTTCAGGCCCCAGGCTGTACCCAGCCACCCAGGCTGCCGCAGGCACATGTCAGCTGGAGAGTTTTAGTTTGACGTGGCCGGCCTCCTCCTTTTTCCAAGTGCAGCTGAGGGTGCCTGCGGCCCAGGGAGCCGCGTCTCCAGCTCCCTGGGTCTCACACTGGGCCCGGGGCCTCCGTTGGGGGACATT